TTCAACAGGTTAGGTGCATTGCATGCATTTTTAACTTATGATATTTTCAATGTATGCTGGGTTTACCAGGATATAATCCCATTACAAGTTGAGGAAGATTTGTATTAGAAAGATGTAAAATTTCAAGTTGATGACCTCAGCTTCTATCTTAAACTAGATAAAGAAAAGAAAATGAAATGCAGTGTAAACAGAAGAAAGAAAATGATAAAAATTAGGTTGCACAATGATAAAATGGAAAACAGAAAAATAATAGGGAAATAACATTAAACCAAAAGCTGGTTATTTGAGAGGCAACAATTGTTGCCTCTCTAGCCAGAATGATGCAGACAAAAAGAGAAAAGACACAAATTATCAATATTGAGAATGAGAGAGGTGTCATCACTACAGATCTGCAAATATTAAAGGAATATTATGAGTAACTTTATGCCAATATATTCAATCACTTAGATGAAATAGCAAATGTCTTCAAAGGCACAAACTACCAAAGCTCACTCATGAAGAAACAGATAATCCAAATAACCTTATATCTGTGAAAGAAATTGAATTTATACCTTCCCACAAAGAAAATTCCAGGTATGCATGGCATTACTGATAAACTTCGTCAATCATTTACGGAATAAATAACACAAATTCTTCACAAACTCTTCCATTAAACTGAATAGGAGGAAGCACTTAACAACTCATTCTATGAGGCCAGGCTTTCTTGGGCACAAACCAGATAAAGACAAGACAAGACAAGAAAATACTCTTGGGATGCCTGGGTGGCTCAGTCAGTTAAGCATCTGCCTTCAGCTCAGGTCCTGGGAGGGAATCCCGCATCGGGCTCCCTGCTCAGCGGGGAGCCTGCTTCTCCCTCTCCCTCTGCCTGCCACTTCCCCTGCCTGTGCTCTCTCTCTCTCTCTCTGTCAAATAAATTAATAAAATCTTTTAAAAAAAAGAAAGAAAATACTCTTATAAACTCTCAAATATTAACTAATACATCATAACCAGGTGAGGTTCTTCCCAGGGATGCAAGGTTGACTTGACATTGGAAAATCAATCAAGGTAATTCACATATTAATGAGTGAAAAAAGAAAAAAAAATACGATTGTTTCAACAGATGCAGAAAAAGCATTTGACAAAATCCAATATCCATTTCTTTCTTTTTATTTTTTAAATTTTTTTTCCAATATCCATTTCTAACGAAAAAAACTCAGAAAACTAGAAATGGAAGCTCATCTTGATGAAAAGCATCTATGAAAATCCTACAGCTAACATCATACTTAATGGTGAAAGACTGAATTGTTTCCACCTAGCATCAGGATTCACTGTCACCATTTCTAGTCAACATTGTAGTGGAGGTTGCTAGACAGTCAATAAGGCAAGAAAAGAAGTAAAAAGCACCCAGATTTGAAAGAAGATTTGCTATATTTACAGACAACATGATCATCTATGTAAAAAATTCTATTGAATCTACCTAAAAACACTGAAACTAATAGTTTAGTTAAGCAAAGTTGTAGGATAAAAGATAAATATACAAAAAGCAAATATTTAAACAATCAGAAATTGAAATTGTAAAATTCCATTTACAATAGGATGGAAAAATGTGAAATATGTGGGAATGAATTCAAAGTGGATGATAGTTTTAAATGTAAAACGTAAATCTATAAAACTTCTGGAAGAAAATATTTGTGACCTTGGGTTAGGAAAATATAATTTGAAAAGCAGAATTCATCAAAAATAATAATAATAAACTGTACTTCAAAATTAAGAAGAGAAAGAGCAGAGTTTCATTGTTTAATAGAATGAAAAACCAAGTCACAGACTGGAATAAATGTTTGCAAATCACAGTCTGACACAGGACTTGTGTCCAGAAGATTTAAACAACTCTTTTTTTTTTTTTTAAGATTTTTTATTTATTTATTCACGAGAGACAGAGAGAGAGAGAGAGAGAGGCAGAGGGAGAAGCAGGCTCCCAAGGAGCAGGGAGCCCGATGCGGGACTCGATCCCAGGACCCTGGGATCATGACCTGAGCCGAAGGCAGACGCTTAACCATCTGAGCCACCCAGGCGCCCGATTTAAACAACTCTTAAAACTCAGAAAAATAAGTCAATAATTGGAAAAACAAAGTAAAAAACAAAAGATAATAAAATTTAAATGGACATTTCACCAAAGAATATATTTGGATGGCAATAAGCACGTTAAAATTTGCTCAACATCATTAGTTATTAGAAAAATGCAAATTCACGTCACAAGGGAATACCACTGCAGACCTGCTAGGATGGCTAAAATTAAAAAGACTAACCATGGCAAGTGTGCGTGGGATATGGAGCAACTGAAACCCCCACATAAATATGGGTGGAAACATAAAATGGTAATTGACTTTGACAAAGTTTGTCAGTTTCTTAAAAAGTTAGTCCAATGTCACATCCTCCATATTTCCTCAAGAGAAATAAAAGCTTATGTGCATACAGTAACTTATACACAAATGCTCACAGCCGCCTTATTGGTAATAATCAATAACTGGAAATGAGCCAATGTCCAGCAGCCGGCAGGTTCTAAGCAAACTGTGGCATATCCATACAATGGAATACTACCAAAAAAAAAAAAAAAAAAGGAATAAACTATTGATACAGGCAACAATGTAGGTGAATCTGAGAATAAAAATGCCTAGTGAAAAGCCAGACAAAAAGCACATACTGTATGATTCCTTTTATGTAAAATTCCAGAAAATGCAAACTTTTCTATAGTGACATAGAGTGAGCCAGTGATTTTGCCTGGGAATGGAGGTGAGGGTGGGGCCGGGACACTCAGGAGGGTGGAATTACCAAAGAGCACCAGGAAATGTTTTTAAGTGATGGGTATGCTCTTATCTTGATCGTGGGGGTGGTTTGACAGATACACCCGATCATCATAGATATGTCAAAACTTATGCAGCTTATATTTCCCCATGCCTCAATGAAGCTGCTTTAAAAACAAAGAAACCCTAATATGATTGATTTGGTCAGCACCCAGCACACTGCCTTTTAAGACAAAATGGCAAGTACTCAACTCAGTTTATTGAGTGGATACATAAGGGAATGGTCTTAGTGCCTTGAAATCATCATCACCTACAGATGAGATGGCGGAAGGGAGAAGGCAGAACTTTCATTTCCCTACAAATACGTCGTTTCCTATACCCCCACTTTGACCCCACTTCACACTTTCATCCCATTTTGTCCCTGGCTAGAGAAGCCACTGGCTTTCCTTCTCTGACCACAGAGGGTTGATAGTCCATACAGAGCATCTATGGCCCCGGGTCTAACTTCCTCTTGTGGAGGTGAGCTCTCTACTTCATCATCGTTATTTCAGGGTATATAATAGAGTGCCTGACAACTCTTTCCAGCTTTGGAAGTCATTATTCAAATTGTTTCTTATCTATTTTCTGTTTCTGCCTTTGTGGGAGTTTTCTGCATTGGTAACAGAGTTAGCTTGGGTCAGCCACTTCCCTTGCCCCCTGCATTTGCTTTCTGCATTCTGCAGTGATCAAAATGGTCAGGTGAGTGTGAAGACATTTTATTAAACCAAGTCTCTACATCATGGGAGGTGTTGGGGTTATTGAGATACCAACTCAGTACAACGGGTGAATGGGGAAGAGGGAGGAGGGGCTTGAGGTCCAGGTTAACAGGTCAAGGCCCCTTCCTGGACGGATGATGCTAATGCATGGTCACCTGAAGCACTGAGGCCACACCCAGTGTCCCCCCAGAGGGACATAGAGAGGCCGTGACACTCACTCTTACTGGGATCAAACTCTGAGAATTGCAAGAACTCTATAAACTCTCTTCACCAAACACACACAAATAAGAAATAATTGCACACACTTCCTGAAATCTGTCCATGGGCCAGGGGTCGGGAACCCTAGGAAATAACAAAAGTGCAATTAATTAATTAAAGATCTGTGTAACTACACACTCGAGAATGTATCGCCCCCCCCCCCCCCCAGATGTTTGAAACCAGCACTTCTCCTTAAGAACAACATGCAGGAAATTTAATGTACTGTTCTTTCTAAGCCCACGGCCTTGCAGGGTGCTTTCATCACTTGCTGGCCAAGGAGAGAGCTTTGCCGCTGAGGATGACAGGTGCAGACGACCTACCTATTAAAGTGTTAATGCTCTTTGAAGAGGGCTTTCATCGAAGTTCAACTCCCCGAATTTAACATATTAATGCTCATTAACCCACCTTCAACCCTTGACCTCAAAGAATCCACAGCAATGACATTTCATCCCCACACCACAGAAGGTGAGGAGAAGCTGAGGTCTAGACTCTCAGCGTTGAGCCCACAAATAAGATGACGGCGCATTTGCGGTGCGGGGGCAGGTCCCAGCGGGGCCCTGCGGAGCGCGGCGTCCAGGCCCCTTCTCCCGCGCCGCTGGGCTCCCTGCCGGCTTCGGCCCCCGCGAGTGGGCTGCTATGTTTTGGTTGTGGTTGGTTGTGTGTGTTTTGCCCGTGACTCTGCGAAATATCCGGACGAGCACTAGCACAATGTTGCTTTCAGCTTAAGTATCTACTGGGAAACCTCAAGGTTTTCAATGTCATCATTACGGGAAACAGGTTACAAAAGGAGATAATTTCATCTCACTGCCTGGACCTCGCTGGGCCTGGGTGTGACCCCAGTTTAGCTTTCCTTTGGTGGTTTTAAGTCTTGAGAAGTGTGCTCGAGAAGGAAGAATCCGAAAGCGATGCGGTAGGTCTGGGTTGGGGTGGCGACGGGGGGGCGAGGACGGGTCTCAGGCCGGCACCTGGGCCGTCCCCCTCCCCGGTCAGCGCAGCCCGGCTCGACGCCGCGCGAAGCAGCCGCGGCCGCGGGCCCGTTCCCCGGGGTCTCCGGCCTTCGCGGCGCGCCCCGCCCCCGCGCGGCCCCGAGGCCGGTCCTGCCCGCGCCCCGCCCCGCCCCGGCCGCGAGCGCGAGGTGCCGCCGCCGCCGGGATGTGACCTTCAGAGCCGCCTGCGCGGGATGGCCCGAGCCACCGCCCCGCGGCGCCCGCGGCCCGCCACGGCCCGCCGGGTGCTGTGAGCGCGCGCGCCCCGGCCCGGTCCTCGTCCCCCGGCGCTCGCCCGCGCTCGCCCCGGCCGGCCCGCCATGCCGCCGCCGCCCGGGCCCGCCGCCGCCCTGGGCGCCGCGCTCCTCTTGCTGCTGCTGGCCTCCGAGGGCGCGCACGGTGAGTACCCAGCGGGGTCGCGGCGCGGGCCGGGCCGGGGGGCGCCCCGGCAGGCGGCTGGGCGGACGGCGCGTCGGCGCGGGGTTGACGGCGGTCCCCGCTCTGTCCCCGCTCTCTCCCGGCGCCGTCCTCCCGCCGCGTTCGCGCAGCCGTGATGCTGCGGGCGCGCGAGGCGGCGCAGTTCCTGCGGCCCCGGCAGCGACGCGCCTACCAGGTCTTCGAGGAGGCCAAGCAGGGCCACCTGGAGCGGGAGTGCATTGAGGAGCTGTGCAGCCAGGAGGAGGCCCGGGAGGTGTTCGAGAACGACCCCGAGACGGTGAGCGCGCGGGCGCCTGGGGTTCGGGGCCTGTGGGACCGCGGGGCGGAGCGTGGGGGCCGCGGTCCCCGCAGCGCCGCACGGGGGGCACCTGGTCCGTGCGCGCTGCTGCCGAGCCTCGGGCTCGCTCCCGCAGACTTCCCTTCCCGCACTGCGCAGTGAGCCACGCATGCCGGGGGGACCCCGCTGCGGTCAGGTCTCACATCCAGAATCCTTGAACACCGTTTGGGCATGGAGGACGCGCAGGGCCATAGGGGTCCCCTGTCCCACCCTCAAGCCTGCGCCACATCTCTTGAGCCCCATTCCTCCTGGTGACTCCAGGGGCTCCCGCAGTTGTTGGCAGATGTGTAGGTGGGTCCTCTTGAGACCCTCAGTTATCTTCCCCCAGCAGGCCTCTGGAGGCAGCCACTTATTTATTTATTTATTTAAAGATTTATTTATGAGCGAGAGAGAGAGAATCTCAAGCAGACTCCCAGCTGAGCCCGGAGCCCTACCCCGGGCTCCATCTCACGACCCTGAAATCACCACCCTAGCTGAAACCAAGCGTCGGGTGCTCAACCAACTAACTGTCCACCCAGGCGCCCCTGAAGGCAGCCACTTTAAAGGAGATAGACAATAGACAACACCTCTACCGTTTTTAAGATGTAAAAGAAATACACTGTTTAAAAGCCCAAACAGCTTCCTACCCCTCCCCACTCCATGGATTGGAAGTGAGGTGTGGGCTGCCCACAGCCCCTGGATCCTCCTCGAGGGGGATGGAGCGTGTGCTTGAAAGAGGAACTGAGAGATGTGGAGTCTGGAACTGCTTGCTACAGCAGGTCCCAAAATACCACTACAGGAATAGGACTAGAACATATGTGGGAGGGGTGGGCAGGAGGGCTGGGGTCGGGGGCCCAGCCAGGGCGACCCGCATGGGGCGCCTTTCAGCAAGGTGCTCTTTCGAAGCAGCTGGTGACTCCAGGAGCCTGGTTGTGCTGGCTCAGGACACATTTCTATTAATAATGTCCTTGGGGAATGTGGGGCGTCGGGCAGCCAACTGCAGGGAACAGCCCAAGTGTGGACTCAGCATCTGCTCAGGAGCCTGCCATCTTGCCGGAGGGGACCCATAGGACCCTGCCTGTGTATCTGTCCCAGGGCAAATGCCTTTGGAAAGTGGGAGTGTGGAAATTGGATGGACTTTGTACCATGAGGTCAGGGTGATTTCACAGCTGTTTTTGGTTCTACTGGGATTTTTCTTTTAAAGAATTCTGGGATGAAATAAACCTTGCATGCAGTAAATGGATGGTTCTGTGTGGCCCATATAGGCTTTTATTTTTACTTGTATTTCTCACCAATGGGCATGACAACCCCTTTTCGGCCCTTTCTGAAGCAAGCTTTAACAGGATGGCCGGCCTCGAGCTGTTCTCCTTGGGCAAGTTGTTGCCATGGGGCCGCTCTGGGAAGGTTGTTTTCCCCAGGGCCACTGCCCTCCGAGTTCACAGCAGCATGGTTTCAATGTTGCTGTAAGGAACAGGGTTGCTGATCTTCTCTGGCCTGTTTTCCGGTTTCTTTAATGATGAATCCTGGTGGCCCCATGAGTCATTCCCTGCAGAGGATTGCCGAGGGCCTAGCAGCAGGGCTGTGTGCCTGGCCACCAAGCAGCTGCAGGATTGTGTGGCAGGTGCGGGGTGCTCCCCCACCCCAGACCCTGCACAGAGACCATGGAATAGGGCTTACAGGTGACAAGAGTTCGGGGCAACGAGGCTACCACCCACCCCAACCAGCTCGTGCCCACCAGGCCGCACTCACCCAGGATGGCAAGGCCCTGACCTGGCTTTCCCTTGTTGCCTGGACATACTGTGCATTAACCACAGTGTCCTTCCCAGAGCTTTAATCCCCTCTCTGGTTTTAATGGCTTTTATGTTTTAATGATAACTTTATTTACAAATGTCTGCTACAAAGGCAAGAAAAGGAAAGCATGCTCACAATCCCATGATTTTAACGCAATCCAGTGCTCTCTGGGTGCGTTCCTGTCTGGGACGTCACAGCCGCCCTTGCCTCCTAGGCCTGTCATCCCTACGGCCAGCCCAGCATGGACTTGTCAACTTCTCTCTTAGCAAAGCCATCCATAACCATCCAGGATTCTGTCCTTACCAGCCCCTAGCTGCAGGAGTGCCTGCATCTTTCCCTTCATTTACCCGTTTCCCAGGTTAGCCCGGCTACTATGGTGTCTTCCCTCAAGGTCAGCTGGGTTGCAGACCCTTCATTTTAACCTGTTCTGGTGTAGACTGTAGTGAAGACCGTATGCCTTGTTGTCTGGATTTGGCCCTTGGGCATGTGGAACGCTGGGAGCTGCCAGGCTAGGAACAGGGGTCCCCCTCACCACCGTGGGGGACTCTGGAAGTGGCCAGCCTGTCTTCAGTGGCTCAGTGGGAGCCACACATGACCACCAGCCGGGGCTCTGGCTTTGGTGGAGGGGGTAACACTGCGCTTTCTTGCTGATTTCCTGCTGATGGAGAAGGCAGTTCTGCCCTCCTGGTCCATTCCCAGGGTTCTGGGGCACACCGGTGAGTGAGCCCAGGGAGGGAGTGGGGGAGCTCAGCCCTGCCCCCCAGGTGGGTGGGCTTGAGCCAGACCTGGAGCCAGCTCTGGGCTGCAAATGTACTTCCCGATATTTGGGGGCTTCTGCTAGAGCTCAGACTGCAAGCTGGGTGTTCCTGCCTGATCTGGATTGTTCCAGACTAGCCTATCTTCCTCTCTGGGAAGGGAAGTGACCTTCACAGCAGGTAGCTCCTAGCACAATGGCCCCTTCCTGGTTCCAGGGGTTATCACACACCTATGCTGGAAAGGAAGGGGACCTGGGGGGCCTTCCTGACTCCCAGGCATCCTGGCCACCCACCCGCTTCCCTCCTGGGGGCAGATGGTCTTCCCCCACACTCCTCAGGACCCGGGGGAGTGTCCTAGGCTCCCCATTGTTGCCACCACTAAACCTCCTCTGCAGGGCTCAGGCGGAGTTAGATTCCCTCCTTATCTGTTTCCTCTCACATGGTTACTCTCCCTGCCTGGCATTTCCCTCTCCTTCGCTTGTCTTCAGTCCAGCTTCCCACACAAGACCCCAGCTGTCTCTGAGATTCTCCTAAGCTCACCGGAGGCCAGCCCAGCGGAGTCACCTTCTACTTAAATCCTTTAAGGCAGGCGGGTTCCAGACGCCGGATGCCACTTCGGTAATCAGGCTTTGCTTCCGGAAAGGGTTCTGGACAAAAGACTTACCCCGCCTGACCTGCCGCACAGATGCATTTCTATACCTCACAGCGCCTGGGAGTCTGGCCCTCGCAGCCAGCCGCAGCCTGGTGGTACGAGAAAAATTCCAGGCCCTAGTTCTTGACCCATCACCTCGTTTAATTGGAGCTACAAACTATTCACAACACTCAAGCACAGGCCAGAGGGTAGGTGTGTGACCACTGGCCTGTGCTTGAGCTCATACGAGTCCACCCTCCCCAGTCTCTGTCCATCTCTGTCTCTCAGGTGTGGGGGGACCCGGTGGTGGTGGCGGAGGGTCAGCTTCAAAGCGCTGCAGCATTGGTCCAAGGAGACCTGTCTTCCTGAGACCCCCCTTCTTCAGGGACAGCTTGGGGACAGGCATCCCTATGGAGAGGAAAGCTTCTCCCTCAAGTCGCCCCTCGTTGGGGTGGCCCCAGCAGGAGGGCAGAGAGGAAGGAAGAAGGGACCTCGTTACCCCCAGTGACTTGCCTCTGCAGTGCGGGTGCCCTGGCTAGGGAGGTGACACCCTGGCTGGGCCTCCACCACAGCCTCTAGCTGCCCCCTTGCCCCCCCCCCGCCCCCGCACAGCTACACACACACTCTTCTCTGTGTGACCTTGGGGTGGGCCTGCACACCTCACCCTACACAGGCCAGCCCGTCTCCTTCCTTGGGGTCCTCCTGCTCCCACCGACCCCTGTGGACTGAGGCCTCCCCTCCTGGACCCTCTCCTTCTTGGGCTTTCGGCCCTGGAAGGCCTTGGGGAAGCCAGTCCCAGGGGCTGGTCTCGCTTTGTCTAAGTTGGTTCCTGCTTCGCTCAGAGGCTGGTAGACAGGCCGGTGAGCCCAGCACGAGCAGGCCCGCTAACCCACTTTGTTGCCCATATTCGTGTTACTCTCAGGAGTCTGTAGGGACTTACACTGGGCTCTCCAGCCTAATCACAGACCAGGCCCTGTGGATGGCATGTCGCGTCCTTGCCAGTGGGCTCAGCATCTGCAGAAAACCAATTAAAGACATTTTTGGAAAACACTGAACGTCTGCCTTTGTTATTTAGGAACAAAACAGCCTTTTAAGAATCTGATGCTGTTTGAGTACGGTGCGGCCTGTTTCTTGAGAGCCCAAGTAGCTGGGGCCAGGCCATTCCAAACACTTCCCAGGCCGTCCCTTTGCTCCGGCACGGCTGGCAGGCACCCCGCTCTTTCCTCTTCCCTAAGTTCGGAAGCAGGGGCTGTTTCTGTGATGCAGCATCTATCGGGGCTCAGGGTGGTGCCGGACGTCAGCAGTGCTCGGTGCCTGGCAATGCGCATCCAAGAGCTCCCTGCAGACCCGGTGTGTGCTTCTAAGTTTTGGCCCTGACAGGGTACAGTTCGTTGAAAGTGTTATCCCTTTTCAGGAGTTGGAAGCAAAAGAACTCGGGAACCACATCAGGCCTGCTTCAGGTGATCACACCAATTACGAACGTATCGTTCAGATGAGATAGTGATGTGTGACTCTGTTATTTGTTTTCTCAGACTTCATTTTTCAGACTTGAGAATTGTTCCTGGTATTAGTGCGCATGGTAATAACACACATTTTTCCGCATCTGTCCCCCAAACCTGCCATCTAGACCCGGGTTGTGGGGGCCCCTTCTTGGAACATGCAGCGCTGTGGAAGTCACAGCTGGAATCAGCCAGCCCCTGGGGGCAGGCCTGTGCGGGCCACCCCTGCAGCTGCACGTCTCCGCACGGGGGCTGCTGAGGCCGGGCCGGCGCGTCCGCCCAGCA